ACGTGCACTGTATGAAAAGTGGTAATTTGACTACTCAGAATTTGATGCCATCAGCTCTCACTTAAATAATATCGGCTTGTGACAGAAACGACTGTAACTAAGTGGAATCCTGTATACAGAAGTGTTTTATTCAATCCTTTAGGTCTTTTAAGAAACTTCTGTACAATGATATTGTATGTAATAAATGATCATTTCCTTTCTTAAACTCATATTGTTTTAAAATTAAAATCAGTAAAAAGTTTGAGCATTGTGGATTAGATCAAATAAAGTATAATTATATTTTAATAGTTTACACACAATGATAAGTTTTGTTATTGGTAATATTTCGAGCAAAATTACTGCCCGTGTTCACACCACTGTTGGAATTGTTTTATTCACATATTGTTTTCTCAAATTATAGATAATATTTTGTACCTCGCACCATTATTATTATTATTCCATTCGGTTCCGAATGAAACATATATGGCTTAAACAGGATATCTGCATTTCATCGTGTTCTCTGCAGTCCTTTTTAGCTGGTTCCATTATTTCTCATAATCTATCACGTCTTCTTCAAACGATCTCCTGCATATCACCCTCGGGCTTCAGCAGACTCGTCAGCTACTATTAGGGTTGCCACTCTAGGGTTTAGTACATGATGCTACTCAACAGCCTCTTTTCTTTGGCGTGTATCTGATCCCTCTCTCTCTATTTCTTTCGGCATATTTCTTGGGCTATGGGTTCTTTGTTAGTTAGTTGCTAGAGTTCCTTGCTGAATAATGAAGGTATGTTTTACCTTTTCAGTCTTACATGGCTTTGATACCACTTAAATGAGTGGAAGAAGTGACTTCTTTCAAATTTCCCTTTCTGGTTGGTACACATTAAGGATATTTATCTTAACGACCCGCAAACTTTGTAGTTAAGCTTTGCGTTTATAGTCATTCTCGTCTGAATAAATTTAGGAATCAATTGTTTTCTTTTGAGATATTTCAACTGGAGAATGTTTCAGTGTTACATGTTATAGAAAGAAGACGTCAGTACTATTTTAGGGCGGCAGGTGGTGGTGGGAAGCGAGAAGACGGGATAACGTTGAGTCGTCATGATGACTCTAGAGGATTTAAAATTCGTCGGCAATTTATACAAAAGAAAATGGGTCAGACACATACTAAGGAGACCACTGAGCGATATCGTGCCCCAAGCAAACCTTCGAGTGGAACCCGAATGAGGTACTACGAATTGGGTATTAGAAGTATGACATATAAGAGGTCATTTGAGTAGGAGATGAAAGCTTATGGGATTCATGAAGCCAACCAAAAGAGACAGGGGAGAATAGGGTGAAATTGCGATGTGTTGTTGAGGCCCTAATGTTCCACTCAGAACCTAAGGCAATAATAATAATAATCTCAGAACTTCAAACCACAACTATATTTCACTCTCAAATCATTTTTTTTGCATAGGCAAACACACGTTTCAAATATCAATTCTGCCTTAGTGAATAACAACACCCACCTAAATCAATTAAATCAGTCAAAACAGTTAGATGTAAATAAGGTCAGCGCACAACAAAAACATTTGATATTGATTTAGTTCTATGCATACAAATATAACATTGGAACAGTTTTTTTTATTTGCTCTCTGATCGCATTTCAGCTCTCGTTTGACCAATGTATAATAGAGTTAAAACTATCACTTTTGTGTTGTGATAGCTGCCAGTAAAGTACATCCTCGTTAGTTAAGTTAATGTTAATCCGATCGTATTCATTTACACAACGACTAAATATTCATCATTTACATCTGATTAAAAATAATTCCATTCAGTAACGATTACCATATTATAAGCTAAAAAGTAACACTGTTTTTGTTAGACGACTAATTCTCAAGGTTATGATAATAATAAATAAATAATAATAATAAATGGTTTATTTGTGGGCGTTGATTACAACGAATGAAGGTCACACACACACCAGTGTTAACATGAAGGAATGTGTGGGAGAATGAAGATATATGCCGAAGATTTCTCATTATTGAAGTCTTTGACCACAATCCTAAAACTAAATGCAAACAATTAATATTAATGTTGTAATTATGACCTATTTAACATTTGGTAGATCTCGGTGTATTTTTATTTCAGCAAAGTGCTCAACATCCACGTGGCTTTTGTTATCATATATATATATAATACATAAACAAAGCGCATAGTAATTGGTGGTGTGGGTGTGACTTCATAAAGTTAAGTGATTTCTACGCATAAGTATTTGATCATAATTTTAAAGCTTACTACTACTACTACTACTGGAAGTTATTACGTAATAAATAACCAGGCAGGTATGTTATCTGAGAGAGTTCAGGATATTTTTAGAGAAAAAGAAACAGAAAACAATAGGTGGATAGATTTGAGCCTGCCAATTACACGATTAAGAATGTAGATTATCTATTGTTCTGTATTACACGTCAATATAAATGAATGGAGTAGTGGTTAATAAACCCCTTTTTTTATCATTTCCGAACCTAAAAGGTATGTTATTATTCTTCTTACTAACTAAACACCTACTTAAAATCATTACTACGGTATAACGTCTCTTATTAACTACTTTTTAAAAGCTTCACTCACGTTTTATAAACTGATATATCCATACACGCACACACACACGTCAATCTATTTCAGACTACTTATATTACACACAGATACGGAAGTCGTAGAAAGATGATTCTCAAAAAGCATTGAGAATGTGTTAGTATCTTGACTTCAACTTCGTACAGGATAAAGCATGAGAAAGGACGTAAGCGCATAAACTCTTCGAAGTTATTTAAATTTAGACAAAATATCACACATGATAAACAGTAACACAACTCAAACTAGGCTTATTTTTAAATAAAACTTGTTTAAGATGGACAATAATACACAGAGGTTGAATGAGAGATAAGTAAAGACAAGAATTTCTGCAGAAAGCGAAACAACGTCATTGTTACTATTCCCCTAAGTTCCGTCCGAGTGGAACATAAGGGGTTTCAACACTACAACACCTTCATTTCTTCCTATTAATTCTCTGAAGTTCATTTTAGTCGGTTCCAAAAATGCCGGTAAAGCTGTTAAATCCCCTCCATATTACCCTCGGACTCACGCACAACTCGCTGTATCTTATTTGATTTTCACTCGAGGGTTTACCTGACCCGTGGTGCCATTCAACCTCAATAAGTTATACTTAAAAATCTTAATCCTAAAACACGATGTTTATTACTAACTTATGGGCTAAGTTTTCAGATCTGTTGAAATTTCTCCGGAAGTTTTTGATGCATCAACAAATACTACTACTCTCCCCATCTTAGACAACCTTACTATACATCACATCTGTCGTTCAACCAATTCTAAAGGCGACAGCAGACAATGAGCAATATCAGAACCCATTGAACGATGAATGCACGAATTCTCTAATTATGTAAGAACACTCCCTGTGGTTGTACACTAGTCAGTGACTAGTGTAGTGTCTTAGTCGTCAGTCCTTTGTTTGGTGCAAACTGAATTCTACCGAATGAATGTCAGTGTTCATCATGCTTACATACATACCATAAGCCTATCCCATGAAGAAAGTAATCATTAAACTACAAAGAATAGTCAGACATTCTTCACTCCAGAACAATAGATCTCAAAGGTATAAGAGAAATATGTTCTATAATTGAAGTATTAAATGGTCAAAATTTCCTACCATTAAACTAGCTCAACATAGGCAAATGAAGTGACTCAGTCTTTAACCATTTAAAAGACCGATTTCACCTGCCACTCCTGCATCTACACACAATGATACACTATCATATATAAACTGCTTCTAAAAATTCATCATCAAAAGTGAATAAAGCCAACAGTTTCCCTCCAACCTCACAAAAATAACTCAGTACTTCAAAACTGTCTTGTGAGTACAGCTGATTCTCGTTTAATACTTTTTGACAGAGAACTCAAGATGATGCGACTTCACTACATAGGCAAATTGCCCTTTCGCAGATGCTGAACACTACACCCACGACTCATCTGAATTCAACATTTCTATAGGTGCAATTTTATGAGTGGCTTTATTTTTATTCCTTCACGTTCTCAGTAGAACATTGGGCTTCAAGCTAGAGGCTTGAAGTTTCTGTAGCAGTGTTTATTTTTACAGAATGGGGTTGCTAGCCTCATGCCCAACCTTTCCTCTTTACCAGCTTTATTTCTGACTTAGCGAGGTAAAAGAGTTCGTCGGCCGGGGACCAAACCCAGGGCCATGTGCACGGTGAACGAGCGTCCTAACCGCTGTGCCACCGACGCACAGGTATATAACATAGCCTAACAATAAGCCTTAATTGTAGCAATCCCATGTCTACTTAATGATGTAAATAATATATTGTTTAGATATTTAACATTAAATTATGAATTGGTAAAATTTATGAGGTATTTTATGTGAACAGCTTCAGAGAGTTCTTGTTAGTCTGTGACAGCAAATGTTGCTTTTTAGTCGTCTCATAACTAGATTTCAGGCTTCAAAGTTAAACTATATAAGATTACATTCCCCTGACTTATGCTGGTATATATATATATATGGCCTATTGCATAAGAAATTCTTCGTTTTTATTTGTGTTCATCAAGTGGCGCCCACTCAAACTGGGCGTATTTAGGCTATGTCATTTTATCGATCAATCGTTTTACGCATTTTGTTTTCTTGAAAATATCATGGGACTTCTTCTACGATTGTTGATGCTGTTAACACATCGATGTACTACAACTGAAGCCTGTCAGTTGAGTTCATTCAAGGATAACAAAGCATTAAAATAAAAAAAAAATACAACTCAGTAATTGTACAGATTTGTACACAACTTCTTAACTTAAAGTCGATTAAATTATGATGTCTAAACTAAGTTGCATAATTAAAATGTGGTGCACTGGATAGAATTAAAGTTTCAGAATGCGAATTATTGATGGAACACACACCCCGCCCCCCCCCCCCCAACGCAAAACAAACAGCGTAAGTCATTTGACACAAAAAAATAATAAGTATTCATCGAAAGATTTTTATTGCACTTTTTTTCATAAATTTTTGTAATAATAAATTGTAGATATTAAATACTGGACTAGAAAGAGAGACAGAGAAAGAGGAACAGAACAAAGAGACAGATGCATAGATTGGTTTGTATTTTCAATCAAAATAGGAAATAAAAGAAACCGTTGTTTAAACTTGATTTAGTTGATTGGATATACATACCTGGGGCTACAAGAAGGCAGTTATTTCGCCAACCAGGGAGTGAGTAAAGAACAACAACAATGAGGGCGACAGCTGTTAGAAGGACTAGTAGCAATACAGTTTAGTTAGTTGATAATTATATCGATAATATTATTATTATTATTAGTGGGTAATCACATCATAATCTATTCCGTTTTTTTGGCGTGTGTGTGGATTCGAAGAGAAAAATTGAAGCAGCAGAGGGAAGAAAATGGAGGGAACCTCTCCTGCCTTATTTGAGGATAGGCAGGTAGGTAGGTAGGTAGAGGTGGTATAACAAGAGTAATCAAAAGAACACAAGTTGACACCCTCATCTCAAAACAAGAAGAAATGTACAATTCTGCTAACTTGTCATCATTGTAGTAACAGTGAAGGAGAAAGGAAATAAAACCAAAAAAATAAAATAAGAATAAACAAACAACAGGATATAACAGAAATCAGCAGCAACAGTAAGTTTTACAACAGTAGTACTAGTATGTTTAAACGCTATATCACCTTTTCTCCTTGCTGATGATTATTATAATGAAACTGATGTAGACATATTTGTTTATTGTTTTTTTTCACATTTGTATACACAGCTAAGTCTAATTGTAATATAAGTAGGAATATTGTTTTTAAAAAATGAGGAAACAAAACAGAGAATAGGAATTGAACCCGTAGAAGTTTATTACGCTTTGGAAAAAATCCTTTTTTTCATGGGTTTTCCAATCACAGATTGGTTATTGAATGTATGGATAATACACGTACGTATGTGTGAATATATATGTATAAATATTAGGATGATAAAAGCTTACACTGAACTGATGGGGACACAGTACTTAAAAGGTGATAGATAACTTCCACAAAGTTCCTGCTGCCTTTGGAAGAAATAGATTTGACTAGCATATTTTTCTAAAATGAAAAAAATAGGTTTGCTTTTAAAAACAAACTATATATATATATATATATATATACGACGTAATAGTTAAAACCTACTGCTAAGATGTGGTATCTCATGTTCTGGGTAGAACACAAGGCTTCAAGTCTGAGCTTTGAAGTTTCAATAGTGGTGGTATTTTTCTTTTACCAGATGGGGCTGCTATAGTCTTCCGCCTAACCTTCCCTCTTTGCTGAACTAACTAAAACACTGAGTCAGTGAGGCTTAAGAGTGAGTCTGTTGGCCAGGAATCGAACCTGGACTGGTGAGCACACTCTACCAGTGATCTACCGACACTGATGGAAATGTGACTCTCTCAATCCCCCCCTCTCTGTGTTATCTGCATCTACAAACTACTTCATTATCGAATTTTTGAAATTAACCTGAGATTGTAAGAACTAACAATTGATTCTATAACAGAGGCAAGATTGCTGCAGCTATCATACTCTCGTGATCGCACAGGTATAGAGAGATAACGAATCCTTACGACTAAAGGTAACTCCTGAATCTTTACTTACTTTACTTCGGCTATCTCCTACGGGAGGATGAGCCGGCTTCATGAACCATGAAGTTTCATGGGAATTGGGTACGAGTGATGTCCCCAGCATCGCTCGGCCTTTGTTTGAGAGTGCAGCTCTAGCCTTTACACAACCAAGTGTGACCTACAAGGCAGTAGGAGTGGAGTAGGGAGTCCACTATCCATTGGCAGCCGGTGACCGGAGTCCGGTTCATTCGCCTTTTTGAATGGGGCCAGTCATCCAGGGCATCCAATAAGCCCTTTGTCCATACGTCTGCCGGTGAGCTTCATACGCCAGTCGTTGGAGGTTTGGAATCAGGGTTTAGTCATCTCCCCTAGACTGTCGTCCAATGGACAGTCAACCCGGTGAAGAGCGCCGGGCATCCGCTTTTGCCCTCTCACTTTGGTGAAAACACCTCCGCCACGTGAAGGCAGTGAGTAGGACTTCCTCAGGAGAGGCTATGTAAGATGCCCGGTCATATGGGAGCATTTCAAGAGGTGTACGGAGGGGTGGCCAACCCGCAGCGCAAGACACCCACCCCCGACCATCCTGAGGCTTTGGAGGCCTGAATCTTTAACATTGAAAGTCTGGTTCAATCAACAAACCATAAGATCCTGGGTAATCTGTATGTGAGTTAACATGATACATTTGCTTGGATTTCAGCAGCAGCCCACATGCACACAAAACAGTAAATGTTATTTTCGATATAAATTGCTCACACTCTGTAGAAGCGTCTGAACACGCATGATAGCAAGCTTTGTTAACATAAAAATATTAGGGAACTCGATTCATGAACAATGACAAACGACTGTTCAAGAAGACTCTAATAAATGGTATGGAGATTTACTTAAAACTTCGTACCAAGTATCATTTCTTTCATATTACATATTTTGTAAGTGATTCAATATTATACACTAGCCTGAAATTTAAACACAATTTGAGGTGAGACATCCCAAATTCTACCCTGAACAGTGCTTTCATCTGACCGAGTTGACATAGAAAAAGATCTAACATACAAACCCTTATTAAGTAAAACAATCACAGATACTGAGAGTCCCCGTTGTTAAAAGTTTAATGATACTACATAAATGCCAGTGACTCAAGCTCTAAAACCACGTGCAATTTTATGCACTAGCTAATTCAATCTGTTGCCTAATAATTCCAAACTAAGTGCATAAGGCCAGTGTGGTAACATGCTCCAACTCAATATATCAAAGCTAGATGGAATATATAAAGTAGACAATTAAAAATCAATACATAGACAGCTAAGATGTATATGCACCAAGTATCTTGCAAAACTTCAGACTGATTGAAAAGACAGGCAAATTCCATATCACATTACAAGTAGTGAACATTGGACTTACTCAAAACTCAAATTCACACTTGTCAAGGTATTTTCTAACTGAACTAACTCTTCATCCTTTTCAGAAATAGTTGAAAGAGTTGGAGGAGAAGAAGTTGAAATGCTGCGTTGAGTTCGCCGGGATAAAGTCCACACAAGTGGTGGTGAGCTGCCTAGTAGACGGGAAGAAGGATAGTCTTGAACTGTATAGGATTCTGATGTGGTTTTAAGTGCTACCTTTAACAAAGATGAACATGCACCAACATCAGCCCAAGGAACCTACAAAGAAAAATATTTAAAAAAAAAATCGAAACATCATTCTAAATGTTGTTTTTGCGTAGTATAAAGTAAAGGAATTTAAGAGTTCAAATATATAAGCGCTCAGTGTCCTTTATCAAAAGTAATTAAGTCAGTCTATAAAACGGTCGGTTCTTAAAGGTTGTATATGGGATGAAACTCAATATGCTTAAATGCAGATAGATTGGAGCAAGTCAAAACCATAGAAATCCGCCTGAATAAATCTGTTTTACTTCTGTAAATGACGGTGTTTATTACTACTACTCCTGGTATGTCTTGGAAAGAATTTATCTGATTATCTCTTAGATTAAGTTCTAAATTCTCATGTCACATTAGCGATGACAATTACGCGTAAAATTAACAAGATGACATTTTGTAGGTCATGATGAGAAAGTAATGGAGAAGATTTGTAGCTTAGGTGGATGATATTAAATTAGTTGTGTTCTCTGAGATTGTTCATTTAATTGCAATGATGAGAAGGTAACTGAAATATAAAAAAACTTTTATACCAACTTTAGTGCATTAAATGCCTTCATGAACTTGGTGCCAACTATACAGACCGTAAACAAATTAACACTTGAACTCTAGAGAGAAATAATTAAGTGGTTCATATGCCTATTACTTTTTTATTTCTTTGCATTCCACGTGGAACATAGAGCTTCAAACTTGTGCTTTGAAGTTTCGGTCACAGTAGTGTCTATTAGTTAAGCGGTCGGGGGGGGTGCTAACCCGATGCCCAACCTTCACTCTTTTCTGAATTTACTACTCGGTTATAAGCGAGATTAAGGAGTGCGTCAGTCGGGGGTCGAACTCTTGACCTCTTTATATGGTTGGCGAGTATTCCACCATTCAACCACCGCAACGCACGCACATTCACACTACTGTCATTGTCCAAATAGCAATGAAATGACAAGGCTCTCAAGAAGTCAAATAAGCTTAGTGTAATAAATGCAGATTTCATAATACTATGATGAAGTGAATAAACATGGATCAGAAGTAAGCCTACTTTTTATTAGGATTGACCAGGAGAAAATTGAAAAGTTAACAAAAGACATCAAATAATATTTCCTACTTGTCCCTAAACTTTAATTTCGGTAAACAGGTATCCATTCCTAGATATGTTTCCGCTTATTCTTTTTCTCCCTGTCAGTGTATGCTATAATGACCTTACTTTGAAACCAAATGGATAAATGGTATGTGTCAGTATAGTGTCTGTTAAAATAAAAGGATATTCTAGTCGTATTACTCATACTTCTAGGACTGAATTCAATCATTCTAAATTACTTACATTGCATAAAACTGCCAGGTTGAACAGATCTGTTGTGTGAAACTGTAACCAGTCGTCGTCAGACGATTCTGTCGGTCTTATATTTGAATCGAAACAACGTTGACTGAGCAATGCCAAAGCAAGACACGCAGGACGAAAACATGATACTTCAGAAGAAATCAAAGCGATTTCAACCTGACGACAAAGCGAAATAGGAAGAGGTGGTAACCAAACATTATGGTTTTCTAAATCCGTCGTCTGGTGAGGCGATGAAGTACCAAGAGGAGAAAAGATGGAAAGAAAATCAATGGCTGTAGCTGAACATGCACCAATGGCAGCAACATTGGAAGGTCCTAATTTTGTTAGGATAATTTCTACCATTCGCGTTAAATCACCAGCCGTGCCTCCGCATCTCGATAATGTTACGAGGCTTTCCGGTGTGGGTAAAATATGATCCTAAGTGGAAAAGTAATTTAAAAGATGGAAATAAATTAACATGTAAGACAAAGGCTCTATACAAATTTTATACTTGTAAGCTACTCATAGTAGTCAACCTGTGAGACCACGATTTCTCATCACAATATATCGACTAAATTCATATGTAACAATGCACTTCAATTACCACAGTCAACACTTACCGACTAATAAATCCATAAATGAATTTATCGGCTACTGGCAAAGTGATTTGGCGGTGTAAGTGATTATAAAACGGGGAGTTAATCACATACAACCAGTCGAAAGACAATTAAATTGCATCTTGTTATGAATGTCGTCTATTAAAGAAATTTATTCTACCCCTATAGCAATGTACTAGGGCGACGGAAGGATGTTTACTTCTAGGGGTCTTGAAGGTAGCAACACTAGGTATAATAATCGGTATTGAAAAAAACATAGTCGTAACACCTGCTTCCGGAAACTTGTTCTTTACGACAAAATCATGAATCAGTGAGACTTGGTGATGTAGGGCTTCACATTTACACTTTTTGGCGACACTTATGAAGTAGAAATGTCTCTGTTACACTACCTGTCACAAAGGTAAACACTTGATTTGTTAACTTTTGTGCAAGGGTTTAAGTTACGGATACTTATTTGTTACGGTTGAAACTGTTTTTGTTTTATTGTCAACCTGTTACAGGACTGGACTACATCGACGCCTAGTTTAAAAATAGGAAGTGAAGTGGTAGAGCACGTTGACCGCTTCACTTATTTGGGAAGTACCATCAGCCCCAACGGGCTGATCTCTGACGAAATCTCAGCACGAATACAGGGGGCTCGTTTCGCATTTGTTAGTTTACGCCGACTCTGGCGTAGACGAGATGTTCGACTATTGACCAAAGGGCGGGTGTACTGCTCATCAGTCCGCTCCGTCCTCCTTTATGGTTGTGAGACCTGGCCACTGAGAGTGGAAGGCATGAAAAGACTAGCTGTTTTTGATCATAGGTGCCTACGTTCTATTTCCCGTGTAAAGTGGCATAATAAGGTGAGCAACATTGAGGTTAGGCGTCGAGTTCTAGGTAAACAGGGGAAATCAATCGACGAAGTCGTGAAGCTACATCGACTGAGATGGTTAGGACATATGTTACGTATGCCAAGCCATCGCCTCCCTCGACGAGCAATGCTAGCGGATATAGGGTCAGGCTGGAAAAAAGCTGGCGGCGGTCAAACAAAAACTTGGCATCAGTCAATGAAATCCACAACAGTTGGTCTAAGCCATGTAGGAAGATGTAGACTTCCAGGCTGGGGTCCTCGGGACGGTAAAAATCTATGGTTGGAAACAATTGGTGACATGGCTCAAAACCGTTCTCAGTGGCGCAGATGCATCCACTCCCTGTGACTTATGATCTTCAATGAAACTGTTTTGTATTTCTTTATTACTCCTTTGTCTCACACCTCTGCTCACTGTTTCTATTATGCTTTTCTTGTACTTTCTTCTCTTGCTTCGCGTGCTACACGGAATGTGGCGACTTGAACGGGCGCACATTTGTGCAAAGTTCTATGTCGAAAACAGACAGACAGATTGTCAGCCTGACTAGCATGATGAGACAATAAACAAGCACTTTTACCTAAGATGCTAAACATAATTATCACAGTATGGCGGAAGTTGTGATCAGGAACTGTATGCTTTTAATTTGGTTGACGAATGCCGGCCAACTGGTAAATAATACTATTCATTTATGAATCAAATGCAGTGGGTTTTATACCAGTGCCTGTCATTGACTACACTAGCAAATTATATTCTAATAAGTAGAACTACACAGCAAGTAATACTTATTCCCTGAAGTTGTTTGATGTTTCGATATATGTACAGCAACAAGTAAGCATACAACCAACCTTAAACATTTGACCGCAAATTCGTATTACTTACTAAAATGGAATGCTAAAGCAGTCAGATATTTGCTGGAAACAATCACTAATCTTTCCTCCACATAGTCAACAAAGGATTTATGGAGCTGTTCTAATGTAAAGCCACATCGATAAGCTAAGCAGATTAAAACTATTTCACGAAACCACAGTAAGAGGATGAGATATCAGAGATCAATTTAATACAAGCAGGTAAAAGTCTTCGGAAACCACTTGGAAGCTCATATGTTAGTTCATACAAGATGCCGTTGAAATCCTTACAGAACAAACAGGAATGGAAGGGGAAAGCTATGCTTTTTGAATCTACCTTTCCCTTTCATCAGATTCTATCAGGTGGATGGGAACAGTAGCCTGATGGGCACTCTGGTGACCGTCAAAAGTAGTTATAACGGCTAGAAAGTGATATTGCGTAATTCTTTTCTAAGACGTGGCTAATTAGCTTAAGTACTTGGAGAGTCCCGGGTTCGAAAACCCTCCAATTAATTCAACTTGAACATTTGGGTAGTATAATCCGCCCTCATATTATAAATGGTTCATAGGCTGGTGCACAAAAGGTTTATCATGCGGAACTTAGTTCATACTACTACGACTTAAAAGGATGAAATAACAGGTGGCATTCAAAGGTCGAATGCTTAACCAGTTCAATAGCTTGAGCTAAGTTTCATCCCAATTTGGCCTTTGTAGTAGCATTTTCAGAACTATGATTACTGTCAAATGACCTATTTATCCATTATTATGCGAAATCAAGAAATAACACAAGTCGAAAACAATGTATGGGCTCCATAAGCAGATTTGATGCACAAATACTAGTTAAAAAAGAAATCACCAACTGAGAAAACATTCCAACCATAGTCTTAACTTATAGCATCGTAAAAAGAGGTATACTTCCAGAGGGTGACTACAGTTGGGCGACTATCTCAATAACAAATGTTAGTTGAATCAGGATTATGTCCGATTAAGGCGATCAAACCAGGAAAACAATTCATGTTTCCACAACAACGCTTGCCGACATTATGATTTAGTTGCATTTGGAGGGGAGGATACTAGTTGCAATCTAACCCTTCTTCAGCTAGAACTAGTCAAAAAAGGGAATAGTTTGATACGTACGTACGTTGTTAGTGACTAACCACAATGTCGTTACATTCCGTTCTGTAACAGGCTTTTAGTGTGACAGACACCATATAATATATATCAATCACTAAGTGGGATAGACATGTGCTCAGTGCAGTACTGTGTGTTTAAAACAGTCGTACATGTCACATGCTAATAATGACTTAAGCTGAAGAACACCATACAGGACCTTACAAAGACTTTTTTCAATAGCTAGTTAATTAGGGCTGACAAAAACTCCCAAAGTAAAGTAGTCACTTCACTTCCCATCCCAAAACCAGGAGTAAAACTGAACCAGTTCTGTATCATCTCCTCCCACTTAATAGGGATGAAACAAATATTAGATACTGATATGTACAGTTAACACATTAAGATAACCCTGCATATCTGGCACTGATGTCTAGTGTGGAAATATCACTTGCTTAGTCACACCTACCAGTCCATCTACGAGCAATCAATACCTTCGACACCCGGATCACCAGCTGTCTCCAGCAGGAAAATGTGTACACCAGTGAATACTATTACTCTTAATGACGCAGCAACAAAAGCTCTTACAAGACTACCTCAGACCAAATGGTGCTTTAGGGATCATACTTTAATATAAATATTGTCAGTTAATCGTCTTGAAATCCCACCATGTGATGCTATTTGTATACTTTATAGGACAAGCAAATATAAATGTCTATATCTACAGCGTAACCCCTACACATATTCATTAAAAGCATCCATACAACGATACAAATATGAAGTGTTTGACGAAGCTAGAAATTATGAAGCGCTAGGAATATCATCTTTAAAATGAAATGTTAATTTCCCTGAAAACACAGTTCAACGCAAGAAAAATTCGGTACCTTACAAAAAAAATACATTTTGGTGGGAAAAAAGGTATTAAACATGTCATGGATTTACTTACCGATGAGCGTTCGAATTTAGAGGTTATGTAGTAACATGCGGCAGCCACACACATTGCGTATTTAGGTTTAACCTAAGCAGTAAATAGAGGAGACAAGTTGAAACACCTACCCTGACTTTAATAATGAGTAAGTCCATTAGGCAAACAGCCTTGCAGAAGGTAAGAGAAGAAAGGGAATAGTAGGCACTGTGTAACGACCAAAGTTTGGACAGAGTTTCTGTTCTCAGCGCTGAATCTATTTTGTCATCAAGCTGCTATGGAAAAATCTCAGAAAATTCGTGCACAACTTACCGAATTAACAGCCAGCAGATGTTCATTATCAACATGTAGTAAATTTTCTTGACATAGGGAAGCGTATAACTTTTCTTGAATAAGATGATAAAACTATAGAAACAGAGTGAGAAGATTTTGCGGACTCACTGTTTGATAGCGAGTGCTGAATGAATTTGAGGGTGGGTAAAAACTGTACATTTGGTGGGTTGAAAGACTGCTGGGTGGAATGAATTCATCTTCGACTGAGAGGCAGTGATCAGTATGTTGAGATAATGTTTGTGGCTTCTCTTCAGAAACCTCTAACTGCTTTTTAAGCCGGCGGCTTTTCTTGGGACGCTTTGCGGAGGACAATGGGGACTTTGGAAGATCACAGGTCGTACTTTCGAAAATGCCTACCGCACCTCTAGAACTTGTCACCATCATAGTGCTGAATAAACTGCAGAAGTTTGCAAACCGGGTTTAATAACAAAGGCATCAAAGACCCTGGAAACTGATTGGCTAACTGCAAGTGACCTACAACAAAAACAGCTGATACAAAGGGTACTTTACCTTTCATATTGATGGTTTAAAACAAGTAAAACGCTAAAAATAAAATGAATTCATCTTAATGGATGCTGCATTTCATTGTCTGCATTTTATTTTTCCTCGCCAAAAAAATGTGGAACTTATTGTTATTATTTGCCTTTTGAACAATAAATCTGTGGATAAAATCTTGCTCATCGACAGTACCTAAAACTGTCTGCTTGCCATTTTGTAACTGTCTAACGCTAACTAAAATCTATGATTGTATATATTGATGGATTTATATGTCCAAGTTGGCTTAAGGTAGTGAGTCTAAGTTTTTGGTACTACTGCCAAGGTTAATTTTCATCGTTGTTGTCACTGCCCTTCCTGTTGTGAATTATTTTTTTTTGCTGGTGTTATTCTGATTGCTTTATTCCTAGTTTCCCCGGTTTTAGTGGGAGCAACCCACAAGGTCGCTTCTCTCTAAACTATATTTTAATGGTACAACGTACTTGGAACGTCCGCACCACGTACGAGATTGGAAAAGCTGCCCAGATTGCAAGCGAGATGAAAAGGTAGGGAATTCAAGTACTGGGAATATGTGAAAGCAGATGGAACGGGAATGGACTCACCAAATTGTCAATGGGTGAATCAGTGATCTACTCCGGTCACCCAGAAGATAACCACACGCACACCGAGGGCGTGGCTATCATGATGTCACCAACTTTAGCAAGGGCCCTGATGCAATGGGAGGCGATCTCGCCCAGGATAAAGACCTCCAGATTCAACTCCAAAGGATGGAAAGTGTCAGTTATACAATGCTATGCACCCACAAATAGTGCAGACCTCGAAGAGAAAGAGGAATTCTACAGACAACTACAGGCAGCAATGGACAATACTCCAGCTGGTGACATTATTATACTAATGGGAGACATGAACGCCAAACTGGAACCAGACAATACAGGAAGGGAACTCATAATGGGTACAGAAGCTCTCGAAGAAATGAATGAAAATGGAGAACTCTTCGCCGACTTCTGCGCCTTCAATGAACTAGTGATTGGTGGTAGTGTATACAAGCACAGAGATATCCACAAGGCTGCATGGTTGCCACCAGATGGGCAAACCAAAAACCAAATTGATTTCATCTCAATGCTGCTCAAGGAAGTGGAGACGCAGCCTACTGGACACAAAAGTAAGAAGAGCAGCAGACGTTGGCTCAGACCACTATATCGTACGAGAGAATCCAAATCAAATTAAAAGCTTTCAGAGAAACAGGAGCCGCAGATAGACCACAAGCGAAAATCAAAACTCAAAAACTGAGGGAATAGGTTACAAATAACATCTTCACTGAGAGCATAAGGGACAAAGCCGAGACACGAATCAACACTAGCGAAGAGGTCAGTGTTGAAAAGCACTGTGACAACTTGAAAACGGTGTGGAGTCAAACCTTCATGGAAGTTCCAGGCCTATAAAGGAGATAGGACAAACAGCGGCTTACTATGGACACTTGGAGACTAATAGGAAGAGAGAAGGATAGTGAAACAAATGATTACCCAGTGCATCGACGAGCAACAAAAACGGGAGTTGAATGCAAACTACAATACGCTGAACAAAAGAGTGAAGAAGAGTGCCAGGAAGACAGAAGAAAATATTATGAAGCCATGGCAAACGAAGCAGAACAAGCTGCAGGCAAAGGAGACCTCGCCACACTCTACCAAATAACTAGGAACCTATCGGGTAAAAGTTCGACAAAGATTAAGCCAGTGAAGGATGACAGTGGAAAGTCACTTACCAAGGAGGTGGAGCAAAGAAAACACTGGGCTGAACACTTGAGAAGACTTCTAAATCGACCAACAGTACCAACAACGGAAGCAGAACTAACAGTGAACATCGACCTTCCGACGAAATCAGAAGTCCTGAATGCAATCAAGATTCTAAAAGCTGGCAAAGCAGCGGGACCAGATGGAATCCCAGCAGAAGCATTGAAATAGACCCAGAGACAACAGCGGACGTGATGACGCCATTACTGGAGAAGGTGCGGAATGAGGGCAAAGTCTTCGTGGATTGGAAGAAAGGATACTTATTCAAACTACAAAGAGAGGAGATTTAAGTCAATGAAAGAATTGGCGTGGAATTATGCTCCTGTCCATCTCAAGCAAAATACTAAGCTGCATCATCCTGGAGAGAATCAAACAAGCCCTGGATGAAAAACTTCGACTGTAACAAGCTGGATTCAGGAGAAACAAGTCATGTGTTGATGAAATCACCACTCTACGGATCATCATTGGACAAAGCTTGGAATGGCAGTCACCTCTCTATCTCAACTTCATAGACTTTGAAAAGGCCTTCAACAGCGTCGATCGAGAGGTCATTTGGCAACTACTTCGCTACTACGGGGTGACATCGACAATTATACACCTCATCCAACAGTCGTACGACAATGCTGCATGCCAAGTATTCCACAACGGGAAACACATGGAATTCTTTGAAGTGAAGACGGGAGTAAGGCGAGGCTACCTACTACCACCAATGATTTTCCTGATTTCAGTAGATTGGATATTGCGACAGACAGCGGGTGTCAATGTGGGTGAACATCGAACATTTGTTTTTGGAACTGGTAGCCGTTGGTGGGCAGCTCGAAGGCGCAAATGGTTCGATCGTGTAAAAGTTCGAAGGGGACAAGCAAAAACGGATAAAAATACTACATAATTCTGTATAAAATATTTGTTTGTCGACTTTTACTGTTCTCCGCTTTAACTGCCAAACAATATAACTTCCTTCTTACAATACTGGTGTTTTGGAGTTGAAGTCGAACAAATTACATAGTTTTTATCGGTGCGGAGCGTCTTCGTAACAATAGGAACTTAGGGATAAGTTCCTTGACAGCGGGCATTGAGGAAACAGACATAAAATGGATCCACACACACAAAACTTGTAGGATCTGGACTTCGCCAATGACATATATCTGATTTCCCACAAACTGGAAGATATGCAAATGGAGAGCATCAAGTTGGCAGAAGAAGCTTCCAGAGAAGATAGGACATCAGGTGAACATGGAGAAAACATAGGTGGTGAAGATTCCTGGCCAGAGAAGATCACCAACAGGGATCTCTGGAAATGAGCGAACCAACCAGGAACCGATTTTGAAACAAATAGGCAGGAAGAAATGGAGATGGATTGGCCATACTCTGAGGAAACCATCAGGTGACATCACACGCCGGGCCATTGCTTGAGTGGAACCCGAAAGGGAAGCGGCAAGTTGGTCGTCGTTGCAAGGGCGACTTGGAGGAGGTCATGTGAAGAGGAGATGAAAGCATTTGGGCAGAATTGGAGCCAGGTGAAAACTTTAGCAGAGAACCGAATGCAATGGAGACACGCGGAATTTAAATACCTTGCCTTTTCCACTGTTTCACTGCCGTCTGTTTGTAGTGGGCCTTTAAAAGCACCAAAATAGGCCTAAATCTGGAATGAATTGATCAAACTGAATCAAGTTAATGTTACCTAAGTAAATTTCCAACCCCGCCGTGGATGCCATGTGCTTTAATGCATGTTCACGTAACCATGCTGGGGTACAATTTTGCACTTCCCTTTGTTCTGGAGTAAGTTCCACCATCAGAGTGTACAGTTCAGCTGCACTAACCGGATAAGTTCCTAAAAGCTTCACCTCAGATAATCTCAACACTTTAGTCTGTTTAAATGCATAACTGATCACGTTTTATTAATGAATAGTGGAGGCTTTTTGACTCTCGTTTTTTATCACTACGTGCAAGTTAGGCAAAGTATTAGTTGAGACAGTGAATTTCGTGTGGCAGGTGTAGTGCAACATGTTATTAATACAGTTAATCCCTTAAAGATTTGCCCCACGAGTGTGGATGTTCTGACAGTTTACTATCTGTAGAAAGTATGCATTGAAAAATGTAATCCGTGGTATCACATGGTGTACACTCGTTTAAGTTCAACATCATTTCAGTGATACTCTCACTTGATACTACCTAGGATGTACATTATGTGATATCCACTTAAGTTTATGTTAATGGAGAAGGTCTATATATTACTTTCTAAAGCTACAAAACATGGTTCAGAAAGGCTACATTGACTAGGCTTTAATGATTATTTTACTAGTGTTATAATGAAATTCCGCCATCGGCGGTTTCAGCAATCAAAAGTAAGTGAACTGTTAAGCATACAAAACGTTATGCGGAGGCACAAACACAGAGTGCCTATGTACACTACCAGCAATACGCCAGGCCCATAATCTGCCGTAGACAATGTGAGTATTCACTCTACAGGCAAGATCCTAGATGGTACTGACCGTAAAACTGAAGGTGGTGGCTCACTAGCTTAATAATATCCACATGATAGTGGTCCTGCGTCTGTCCACAGAACAGGAAAACAGTCCTTTTGAAGTGTGAACCATAAGGTGGTATATGAGTGGGGACCTTCGAATATTATAGCTAGAAGTAATACCAGCAGAACTGCTACGTCGAAGATAGAAGTAAAAGGTGTAAAAACTTCGTCATAAACAAATAGCCAATAGAGCCCGAATGATCACGTATGTCTTAGAGTAATAAGACGACTTTCAACCGAAGTGCTCTTGTACGACATACAGTTTGTATTTCTAATGGGAAAATGCTTCCTTAAATGTCCAAGGAAATTAAATAGGAGTGGGAAAGACACTTCCAAACTGCTTGGTATAGGGTCCATTCGATGGGCAGAATCACTAGCCAAATACATGATCACAAACGCCAAGTTTTATCGATAGACTGCAGAAGTCTTCATGAAAAGGAATGAGGGGAAAAAACTAAGGCTCAAAAAGTATTTACACGTGAAATGCAGAGAGACTTTCGCAAACATTTAAGTTTTGAAAGACTTTCAGTGGAAACTCTTAAATGTAATCACTACATTTAACACATATATATTCAGCAAGTCCTGGGGAGATGAATAAAAAGGTCATCCTGGGCAAGTTTTTCAATGAATTCTGATGAAAATATTCACGAATACTGCAAAGGAGCAGCATTAAATTGAATCAGGGGCAAGTAAATTGAAATTCGCATCAGCG